GGCTGGGCGGGCAGGCTGGGCAGCAGCGCTGGGTGCAGGCGGGCACGGGCTGGCTCAGCCGCCCGGCGTGTCGAGTCACGCTCCGCGCACCCCGACCCAGCCCGCACATGCCCCGAGTGTGCGCGACGTGGGCTGGCAGCTCTCCCTCGGCTTCCCTTCATCTCCTCCTTCCTGCAGGCAGCCGAGAGGAAACCGCTCCCTGTGCTCTGCCAGTCCCCGCTCTTGGCTGCAGTCGGTCCCTGGGTCTCCCTTCGCACACCCCAAGCCCGGCTGTGCCCCAGGCACTGCCAGCCGCTGCCTGCTGCTGCCTGCAAACCCTGCAGCCAGGGCTGGGCTGGGAGCACCTCAATCCTCATAACCCCAAGGCAGGGAATTTTTCTGTGCCCCTACAAAGAAACAGGAGTTTCCTTTCCATGGCTGCGTGTGCTGGGCTGGCTGGGGCACCTCTAGGGCATAAATGCTCCATGCAGCCRTCAGCATGGGAAAAAGCAGCACCAGCCCCATGCAGAGATGCTSGGTGAGTTTTGCTGGTTTTCCACCATCTCCTGCATGCCCATTCTCAAGGGTTGATTTTACTGAGCCTGAAGCAGCTGCAAGTGGGGGCTGCAGGGCCAGGAGCGATGGGATGCAGCCAGTCAATCAAACCAAGAAGCTGTAGTCCTGCAGAAGAGCCAGGCTGTGTGTGGGCACCTGCAGCATGGGGCACTTCAGCCCCTCCCTGCGCTCTGCTTACCCCTTCCCCCTGCCTCCCCCTGGGTCCCTGACAGCCCCAGCCACTGTGCAGCCTCTCTGGGCATCCCCAGCATCACCAAAAGCTCGGCCACAGGATGCAGCTGAGCGCAGCTTTTTAGCTAGGGACTCTGGAGCCCCATTCAGTGCTGCTGGCTCCTTATCCTGTTCCATCATCCCCATCRTCACCTTCCCTTTCTGGCATGCTGGCCACATGCCATTGCAAAGCACCGCCAGCCCTTGGCAGAGCCCTGGTGGTGCCTGGCTCTCCCCTCACTTGCTGTCCCTGAAAATTGGCCTGGCCTCTGCAGTCAGGCTGACCAGGGCTGCCTTCTCCACAACTTGGCCAAGGGGGGGTCACGTCCCCACAGTGTCACCGTTCCCTCCTGAGCCCATTTGTCATGGCCAGTGGGGCCTGGCCACGGTCCAGCACAGCTTCGTGCGATGCTGGTGTGTGGCTGTGCTGGCAGCAGCCTSCAGACACAACAGTTTACRGGCAGGAAAATCTTTCCATCCCTCCACAGCAGTTGTGGGAAAGCCAGGACATGCATCCATCCCATRGGGTGCCCTGGTGTGGGGACACAGCAGGCCCAGCCTGACCCTGAGCTTGGCTGCAGTGGGACCCCTTGCCACCATCATCCTAAAGTCACCAGACTGCTGCTGCCTCCACAAAGGCTCTGGTCCCACAATCAGGAGCAGCCCCTTCATTTTGGACATCCCAAGCACCACTGGCACTGTGAAGTGCAGCCTGGAGGGCTGGCATGGCTTTTCCCACCCCAGACTCCCAGGGCAGATCAGCAGGACATAAGGGTGATCATTTCCTATCCGGGTCTATTTTGTGGTCTCTTGGGTTGCTGAGTTGTCCCATAGGGTGGCACAAAGGCTCCCCAAAGCTGCACTGAGTGTCACCCTCACTCTCTGGGCTCTCCCTGAGCTGACTGGTGATGGTGGTCAGGGGTCATGGGCCCCTTTCCCGGGATGCTGGACTGGGTGGCTGGGTGCCACAGCATGGAGCTGGCGGTGGCTGGTGCTGGAAGACATTCCTGGAGCATGTCCCAACTGGCCCCTGCGGCAGACGAGGTTCCCCCTTCAGGCTCTGGCCAGCTCCTCCTCTCTTCACCCGCCTCAGCACCAGCCCCCTGCTGCTGCCTTCTGWTGGAAAGCTTCCCAATTTAAAAGTGCTGGGAGAGGTGAATTGTCCCTCCAGCAGCCCCTGAGCTGTCCCATGCATCCCCACTGGCTGGGGATGCTCATGTCGTGCTGGAGCAAGGACTACTGCAGCACCACTGTAGGTCCAGAAAACTAAAATCCTGTAAGGGTTGTGCTGAATCCCAGCCCATGTCAGACCAGCACCAGAGGCAGTGGCTACAGAGGATAGAGAGGGTGGCAGAGGATGGGGCACAAACCCCACAGCACCACGAGTGCAGCTGGCTCTGTATCTCACCATGATGAGTGACTCATCCTGTCCCAGAGAGCTGAAACCTCACCTGAGGCTGAAGATTTTCTTRTTTCCCACTAAGGCAGCAGTGAGGCCTCATGCCTGGCAAGCATGGGCAGGGAGAAGCTCAGCTCCTGTGCTTCCCTTGTGCACACTCTCAAACCAGGGGCTCCCTTCCCTGGGGGCGACATGCCCCTGTGATTCTCAGGGTCAGTGCTTGCCTGGGCAGTGCCCTGCAAGGACCAGGGACCTGGGGAGCTGTTCTGGAATGTCTCATGATCTGGCCAGCTGGTGGGTGGCACTTGGGAGCCAGGATGGCACACACAGGCGAGGAGCTGGGCTCAGGGTCAGCCCTRCAAATCTTGATCAGTGTCAGCGCAGAGGAATCAGCATGCTTTGGGGCCGAGCCAGGTGGAAGATGGGGAACCCCAAGTCTGGGCTGTGGCAATGACTAGTGGCTGGGCTGCCAGCCTTCCAGACTTTGGGAAGGGCTTGCAGCCTTTGGGGATGTTCCCGGAGGGACTGGCGTGCAGAGGCGCGGGGGTGCCTGCGTGAGTCACTCACACCTGGCTCTCCCTGTGCAGAGCAGCGCCGGCCCGCGCCGGGGGCCGCGGATTCCTTCCCTGGCCCTGGTATGCGGAGGGAAGCTGGGAAACACCGCGGAGGGGCAGACACTCTGGTTCTGGGRACCCAGCTCCGGTGCAAATGTAAGGGGAGTGCTGCTGGCAGGATGGTCAAGATGCTGCCGGGCGATTGGGGTTTGGGGACCACCCCAAACCAGTGGCTGCCCYAGTCCTGGGGGCTGAGGTGGTAGGCAGAGCCCTCGGCGTGGCTGTGAATTGTCGCTGCCCCGGTGCCGCTGCCTGCGGTGCCCGCTGGGCGATGCTCGCCCCAGCGCTGCCCCCGTTRGCCCCGTCGGTGTGACCCCCAGCCGCCCGTGCCCTGTAGCCGGCACCRCGCCGTGGGGCGGCTCCACCAGCTCCGGGCCCGGGGCCAGCCACAGAGCCCTTGGCAGGCCCCTACGCTCCCTGTTTAACGAAGCCCCTCGTCTAATTGGGACAGGCCGCCCTGTCTTCATTAAACGGGCTCTGGCGGGAGGAGGCTTTGGGGATGGCTCTGACCTGAGGATGCGGGACTCACGGCCGGAYCCACAGCGCTGGGACGGGCTGGGGCAAATCTGCGGCCACGGYGAACTTCGGAACCCGCCGGCCGAGTTTGGGGGCCAGGGCTGGGGTCTAAGGAGAGGAAGGCTAATGAAGAGGAGGGGATGCACTGCTCGCTGTGCCTTTAAGAAGAGCGAGGGCATCGCCGCTCCTCCCCTGCCTGGGAACAGCGTGTGCCTGGGAAAGTTGCTTGCAGCCGACCCTGGAGCATCTTTGCTCCGTGGCCGGTGGCCCTGCCCCGGGCCCCCASCCGTGAGGTGGCCCTGGGCCCCAGCGATCCCCGTTGTTGCTCCCCTTGCTGCCCGCAAGAAGATGCTCCTGGACCTGTCCTTTGCCCTGCCAGGAGCYGGAGGGGAGCCCCTGGACCAGTGGTCAGGAGGCCACAGGTACGTGGGGTGCTGGGGACAGGGGAATGCAGGGTGACCGAGGGGACAGAGGTAGGTGCCAGGGGTGCGTGGCAGGTTCCTTGAGCCGGGGTCAACTCCAGGAGAGCACAGGCACCASTGGGGAGGATGGGGTGCAGTGTGATGTGTCCCAAGGAGCAGTRTGGTCCCACAGCTGCCCTGAGGGTGACAACCACCCCGAGGGAAGATGTAGATGCTGAAGAGGAGCCTCAGGGGACAGTTCCACCAGTCATAGGATGCACAGGAAGTGAGAGCAGGGCAACGCGGTGTCCCTGCCTGCCTTGCTGGGCATCCTCTCCCTTTCACCTGCTCCCGACAACTGCAGCCACGTCACCAGTGGCTTTCCAGACAGTTTCTCCAGCTCTGGGGTAGGTCTCAGGCACAGTTCTGCTGTTGTGACTGCTGTGAGATGGTGTCTTGAGCAGGGCAGGATGATGTCTTGCAGCGGGCTCCAGCACAGTCCCTGTACTAGAAACCATGGGTGCTAGGGCCCCACATTAGGGTGCAGGAAAGGTCTGGGTGAGGTCTGGCTGACCTGCAGCCTCATGGCAGCTGCATTGGCATGGGGAGCAGCCCTTCACCACAATCGTCCTTCCCAGGGCTAGTGCTCAGAGCCAGGCTCTAACCCAGACAGTGCCAGGGGCTCAAGTCCCCGTGACAGCTCCATCCAGCTCTGCCTGGGGCCAGGCTGTGGTCTCCAGGACACATTGTCCTGGGATGGATGGATGGATGGATGGATGGATGGATAGATAGATGGATGGATGGATGGATGGACGGACGGACGGACGGACGGACGGACGGATGGATGGATGTGGGTGGTCAGCTCCCAGCTGGCAGGTCCCAGAGCTGCTCACCTTCCTGGAAGATGCAGATGCTGGAGGGAAAACTGCCTTGAGCATTACCGGAGCCCACTCAGCCCCTAACGGAGGTCTCGGTGGCAAATCCAGCTGCCACTCTTCCCGGAGGTCCAGTCCTCTCCTGCTTCATCCCCGTTCCGGAGCCGCTGCGCGTGGTGCAGCCGCGGGGCAGCCAGGGGCGGCACTTGAGGGAGAAGAGCCCGAGGAGCCGCTTTCTTTCCTTCCCTCTCGGGGAGCGGGTGGGAAAAGCCCTTTGGGGGGCCGGGCTGGGCGGGGGCCGCGCCGCTCTGCTCCCCCCCCGGACCGCGCTCCGGGCCGCCCTCCATAAAGGGGCGGGAGCGCCGGGGGCCGGTGCGCGCCGGCACCGCCTGCGCCCGGCTCGGCTCGGCTCGGCTCGGCACGGCACGGCACGGCACGGCACGGCTCGGCACGGCACGGAGCGGAGCGGTGCGGGACGGAGCGGCCCCGCGGGGCAGCGGTAGGTGCGGGGCTGTGGCGGGGTCCCGCCGCGGGTGGGGACACTGCGGGGCAGGACCGCGCTGCCTGCGCGGGCACCCATGGGCACTCGCTCTCCGTCCCGCGGAGGGGCTCGCACCGGGCTGGACCCGGCGTGGCCATCGCGGGGCTATCGGACCAGGTGCCCTGCGCCGCCGCATGCGTGGGAAGCGGCGGGACGGGGGGCTGGCAAACAGGGCTGCCCACGCTGGTCCCCGCTGCCATAGAGCACTTCCCTGGGGCGGGAGAAACCCCTGCGGGCGGGGGAACGGGTGCAGGAGAGATCGGGGTGCGCTGCTGCCTGTGCCATGGCGTGGGGCAGGGGAACGGCTGGGGAAGGGCTGGCGGAGGCAGAGCCCGGGTTGGAACGGGGCCAGGCGCTCCCCGTACCCCCCGCACCGTGGACAGCCCCACCGGCTGTTCACGGGCCAGCTGCTGCCCGCCTGCCCTGGCCCGAAGCGGGGCTCCCCCTGCGCCGTGGGGTGCCCGGGACGGTACTGGCATCCTGCCCTCTCARCGCTGCCAGGCGTCCTGGCACGGGTGGCGCTGGGAACCTCCGGGACTGCTGTCCCCAAGGCGTGGGGCTGGTGTGAGACGGTGGAGGCAGCATCCTCTCCTGCAGGCTCCCACGATGAGCAGCCAACTCCTGCTCCTGGCTGTGCTCCCGGCGCTCCTGGGTCCTCCAGCTGCCATGGCACAGAAGAGGAGCCAAGGTGGGTGCTGAGCACCGAGTGCACATGGTGGGTGGGACAATAAGAAGGCTCCAGCACCACTGTGCCACAGTGCCAGCCTGTGCACTGAGTTCTGTCACTGCTCCGCAGCCGTGTGTGAGGATGTGCTGCAGGCTGACATCGCCTTCCTGGTGGATGGCTCATCCAGCATCGGCAGGAACAACTTCCGTGCTGTCCGCGCTTTCATGGACGAGCTGGTGGGGCCCTTCGTGCAGGTGGTGGGCGAGAAKGCGGTGCGCTTTGCCGTGGCACAGTACAGTGATGACCCACGGTGAGCCCAAGGGAGGGGGCACGTCGGGAGCAGGGTGGCAGGGGCTGGGAAGTGACAGTGTCCCTCTGCGCTCCCCAGGGTGGAGTTCCCGTTCTCCCAGCACACTGATGGCACGAGYGTTCGGAGGGCCATCCAGCAGCTGAGCTACAAGGGTGGCAACACACGCACTGGTGCTGGCTTCCGCTACGTTGCTGACAACTTCTTCGGCCCCACGCAGCGCCGGCCCGGGGTCCCGCAGGTATGTGCAGAGCAGCGGCCCCAGCAACATGGGGAGAAGTGTCCATGGGCCCCATGATGGATCCCACAGTTCTTGCCTGGCCCTGCAGATCTGCATCCTCATCACGGATGGCAAGTCCCAGGATGATGCTGAGGGGCCGGCAGCAAAGCTGAAGAGCCAGGGCATCAAGGTCTTTGCCGTGGGTGAGCAAGGCTTCTGCACTATGTGAAAGAGTCTTCTGCTTGGTTCAGGTTCCTCCTTCACCCATCATCTCCCTCTGTCCCAGGTGTTAAGAATGCTGACCACAAGGAACTGATCCGTGTGGCCTCAATGCCTACTGATGCCTTCTTCTTCTACGTTGGTGACTTCAAGCTGCTGGACACGCTGGTGCCACTGATGACACGCAGGGTGTGCACCAGTGTTGGGGGCACCCTGCGCCTGCTTGGTATGGATCCCCATCCTCTTCCCTGAGGGGCACAGGTGCTGACAGTGCTGGTGTCAGACTGTGCACCCTTAGCACCTGTCCCCCCACCCCAAATGACCTCCTGGCTATCCCATCCCATCCCATCCCATCCCATCCCATCCCATCCCATCCCATCCCATCCCATCCCATCCCATCGGGCACACAATTGTGCTGCCCCAGCAAGATATCCTCACTGCTTCATGCACTGGGGAGCCAACAGCCCCTGTGCTACCCTGCAGATGGGCCAAGCCACACTGGCCCCTCCAACCTGGAGATCCCGGAGCGGGGCCTTGACCATCTGCAGATCCGCTGGAGAGCAGCCAGTGGTCCCATCACTGGCTACCGGGTGCAGTACGTGCCGCTGACAGGGCTGGGGCAGCCCATCATGGCAGAGAGGCAGGAGGTGAGTGCTCCCTGCTGACTGCTCAGAGCTCCTGGGGGTTCCTGGTGGCTCCATGTGTGACCTGGGGAAGATCAGGGGATGACACTGTCCCTGCCCAGGTGAGCGTGGGGCCACGGGAGACAAGCACTGTGCTTCGGGGACTGCGCGTGGGCACAGAGTACCTGGTCACGGTCACCGCCCAGTACGCCAACAGCATCGGCGAGTCGGTGTCCGGCCGAGCACGCACCCGTGAGTGTTCATGCCCAGAGGGACAGGAGAGCATGTAGGCACCAGGTGTGCTGTGGGCTCACCCCTGCTTCTGTGTGCCTGCAGAAAGCCGTGCCGGCTCCACGCTGGATTTCCGTGTGGTGGAGATTGGACCAACCTTCCTGTGGCTGGCCTGGCAGCCTGGCCCTGAGCTCCCTCAGGGCTACAGTCTCAGCTATGCTGTGCAAGGTGAGGGGATGGTCCCTGTGAGGGTCGGTGCTGCCTGGGCAGCCTGCCTTTGTGCAGAGCCCTGGCACAGGGTTAGTGCAGGGATGCATGCCCAAGTACCGTGGGTGTGTACACTCCCACCACGGCGGCCGGCATGTGTGCGCGGGGTGTGGGGCGCGTGTGTGCGGTGCTGYGGAAGCAGCCTGTGTATTCCTGCACCCGGAGGCTTTGTGTGCAAGGCTCAGGGTGTGTGCTTGGGCGTGCACAATGGCTGGGGGCCTGGCATGTGCCCTCACGGCTGCTGTGCGTGGGGGGCAGGCAGCAGACCCCTGTCCCAGCCAGGGACCAGGCGGGAGCCGCACACCTGGCAGCCCCACCCTGGCCTCGGGCGCTCAAAGGGGTGCCCCTGCCCTGGCCCACATCCCAGCCTCTCCCGGTGCTCCCCACCCCTGGCACTGACTGGCATCCTCAGGGCAGGGTGCAGGCCCACAGACACCCCTTCCCTGCCGGGTCCRGTGTGTGCCATGTCCCTGTGCCCACCCACACCTCTCCAGGAGCAGCCCAAAGGGAGGAGAAGAGCCTGGCAGCCAGTGCACAGTCGGCCATACTCAGCAATCTGCGGCCTGACACCGAGTACGTGGTGATGCTCCGGCCCCGCTATGCACAGCAGCCCGCTGTCCCTGCCACTCTCACCGCCCGGACACGTAAGCACTGTGCCCAGCCCTGGAACTAGGAACGGGTTCCCAGCACAGGAATGCCCCCCTCCAAGTCACTGTGCCCTGTTGGGATGGGGCTGCCTGGCCCATTGCTGCCTGTGGGGATGGGATGGGGATGCTCTGAGCCCCAAAAGTTGCTCCCAGGGCAGGGTGCAGCATTGTGTGCTCTCAATTTCCTTTCCAGCCTTCGGGGAGTGTTTCCACCAGAGCTTTCCTCCCATGACGTAAAAAATGTTGACTGAAAAAATGCAGGGTCTGAGCARAGTGCTCTGCGGGAGGAAAGTGTGGTTTCCACCAGGGCAGAGGCTGTTGGAAAGCATCTCYGGGTAGGAGTGGGGGTGAGGCCCCAGGGCAACACCTTTGCAAGCGCCAGATTTTGGCAAACCAAATCTTTGCCCCAGGCAGTCTTAACCCACAGAAAGTATTTAAGGCATTAAGAGGAAGACATTTGAGCTCAGCTCCAGTTTGCATGAGTTTGTTGCTTTGAAGGAGCCGCCTGGGTGCGGGCTGCACTCAGTGACCTCAGTGTGGTTCAGCATCTGTGAGCAGGGGCAAGGAGGCTTCCTGTAGAAGGTGGTTTGCAGGGGAAGGTGCTTTCCACTGCCCCCTGCCCCATTCTCACATGGGAGATGGACAGTCACCTCACTTCCACAGGGCGCCTGGTGGGCGTGCAGCAGTTCACTGTCCACAACGTCTCAGCACAGAGCATGCTGCTGGCCTGGCAGTCTGTCACTGGTGCCACCGGCTACCGGCTCTCCTGGGCCACCCTGACAGGTAGGTGCCTCTCCCAGAGCTTGTGTCCCTTCTGCTGGTGGCCCCCCTGAGGAAGGACAAGAGGGAGCTGGTGGCCCCTGCTGCCTGAAYCCCTCAAAGGGACTGCTGCACTGGCTCCCACAGGGCAGGACAAGCACAAGGTGGACCTTGATGCCAGGCAGACGTCACACGCACTGGTGGGGCTGCAGCCCAACACTGACTACRTGGTGACAGTGGCCCCACTTTTCGGGCAGCTGGAGGGGCCCACAGCCACTGTGCGGCAGAGGACAGGTGGGTGTTGGGTACAGGTGATGCCATCCTGCTGCTGTGCACGGGAGGAGGCAGGGAGCAGCTCTCAGCCCCTACCCTGCTGTGTGCAGGGACCAGAGACCCAGGCTGGGTGGCTGGCAGCAGAGTGGCACAGGGTATCCTGGCCCATGGGGTCCCTCTTGCAGAGGCAGGTACAGACCAGAYGCTGCAGACCAACATCCTGGGCCCCACATCCATCCAGGTGCTCTGGACCAGTGCCCGTGATGCTCGTGGCTACCGTCTGGAGTGGAAGAGAGCCACAGGTGGGCTCAGGGTGCCTGTTGCCCCTGCGGGCCCTCCATGGCAGCAGCTGGCTGTGACCCTTCCCTTCCTGCAGGACCAGAGCCCCCCAGAACGGTGTCTCTCCCCAGCAGCACTAACACTTACCAGCTGACAGGGCTGAAGCCGGGCACCGAGTACCGCATCACCCTCTACACACTCTATGATGGTGGGGAGGTGGCCACCCCTGTCACCACCTTTCAGACAGGTGAGTGCTGCTGGGCTGTCCCCCACTGTCCCAAGGGCATGGAGGGGTGTCCCACATGGCATTGCTCAGCCTGAGGACTGCCTCAGCCTGAGACCCCCCAGCTCTGTCACAGCCCAGGATGGGTGTGGGGGCCGTGCTGYCCAGGCTGTGCCATTCCAGCCATGCCTCATGCGTCCCCCCGCAGGTGTGGAGGCACCCGTGGGTGCCGTGTCAGACCTGCGGCTCGTTGAGGAATCGGGCAGGAGGGTGCGGCTGAGCTGGACGGGTGTCCCCGGTGCCACCGAGTACAAAGTGGTGGTGCGCAACAGCCAGGGTGAGTGTGTGGGCAGGGACACGGGTGGCACCGGGGGGATCCTGTCCGGCTGACAGCGAGCATCTGCACTGCCCTGCTCCTGGCAGATGGCACGGAGAGGACAAGGCGCATCCCAGGCAGCCAGACGGGGCTGGAGCTTGGTGACCTGCGGGAGGGCATCCCCTACCTGGTGCGTGTCTCAGCGCTCGCAGGCAGCCGGGAGGGCAGTTCCGCCACGCTCACCGTCCGCCTCAGTAAGTGCACATCAGGGATTGGCACCAGGAGTCCCGCCACTGCATGCCCCCACTCTGGCTTGCATCTGTCCTCTATTCCCCTGCAACCCCTCGGGGTGGCAGCGTGGCTCTGGGGTGCCTCTGGGCTCTCCAAGGTGACGCTGTGGTGCTATGGGGTGCAGAGTATCCAGAGGTGGGCAGCATTTCCGAGCTGCAGGTGATGGAGGCCGGTCCCACCCAGCTGCGGGTCACCTGGCGAGGGCTGCCRGGCGCTGGGGGCTACCTGTTGACGTGGCAAGGGAGTGACGGTGAGTGTGTGGACTGTGGRGGGCTGTGGTGGCAGTGCTGGAGCCCTTCCTATCCCAGCCATGTGTCTCAGGTCTGAAGCAATCCCGCTTCCTCCCTGCCGACCCCACCACCTTCACCATCGAGGGGCTGAGCCCTGGCGTTACCTACACGGTCGGTGTCTCAGCCATTGTGGATGGCCGCGAGGGCAGCCCTGTCACTGCCACGGGGCGGATAGGTGAGGTGACCCCGCCTGACAGTGCTGTGTGGTGCCATTTGCTGTGAACCCGGGTGACAACGGCCCTCTTGGTGTCACAGTGCCTGAGCAGGTGGGGAAGGTGACCCAGCTGGAGGTTCAGGCATCCAGGAGCAACATCGCCCGTGTCACCTGGGTTGGTGTGCCGGGAGCCACTGCCTACCGTGTGGTGTGGAGCCGCAGGGACGGTAACGTGGGACAGGGGTGGGGATGGGCTGTGAAGGTGGCAGGGTGACAGGGCTGATGCCACAGTCCTTGACAGGGGRCTCGGAGAATAGCCGGAGGGTTCCTGGCCACATCAGCTCCTTTGACATCCCCGACCTGGAGGGGGGCGTCTCCTACACTGTGAAGGTGACAGCGCTCATTGGCAACCGGGAGGGCAACCCCGTCTCCATTGTCGTCACCACCCGTGAGTGCTGGGGCAGGGGGCAGCACCCCAGGGTGGCACTCCTGTCCCTAATGCCTGCCCTTCTGCCCCACAGCGGAGGCAGTCCCCCTACGCCCCGTCAGTGGCTTCCAGGTGACGGAGGCTTCGGAGCACCGCCTGCGCCTGACCTGGGTGCCAGTGGCTGGCAGCACCGGGTACCGCCTGTTCTGGCGCCTGGCTGAAGGTGAGCGTGGCTGGCTGGCACTCCTGCATCCCTGCCAGCCCCCACCTGACCCCCCTCACCCCTCTCTACCCCTGGCAGGGGGTGCCCAGCGCAGCCAGCAGCTCCCAGCCACCTCAAGCTCCTATGACCTGTCGGGACTGGAGCCGGGCCAGCGCTACCACATCAGCATCACCAGCCTGGCTGGCAGCCGGGAGAGCGAGCCAGCTGCCATCACTGCCATCACCAGTAAGGGATTGCCTGGGGCAAGGTGGCATCAGACCCCTGACACATGGCCTGAGCCATGTGGCTCAGCACCCAGCACCCAGCACCCAGACTGGGCTGTCCCAGCACTGGGCTGGGGAGGGAGCTGGGAGTGTGTTGGAGGCTGTTCTATGTTTCCTCCTCTTTGGCAGCTGCCCCAGGCCACGTCACCAGCCTGCRGGTGGTGGAGGTGCGGAGAGATTCGGTGACGCTCAGCTGGACCCCAGTCCCTGGTGCCTCCGGCTACATCCTCTCCTGGAGCCCTCCCGCAGGTGAGACCAGTGTGYGGCCCCGGGACAGCGGGCAGCATCCCCGCAGGGGCTTGCTGATCCCTCTGACTGTCCCCTGGGTGGCAGCTGGTGGGGAGAAGGGGCGGACGCTGCCCAGCACTGCCAGCTCCCAGCAGGTCTCTGGGCTGCGCCTGGGCCGGCGCTACACCTTCACCCTCCGCCCGCTGCTGGGGAGCACACCGGGTGCCGAGGCGTCCGTCAGTGAGCGCACAGGTACTGTGGGGTCACTGCACGGCTGGGCTGGGCTTGTGTCCACTCTGGTGGTGGCTTCACCCCTTCCCTGTTCGCAGTCTGCAGGGATGCCCAAGGTGACGTGGTRTTTCTGGTGCACGGCACCCGCGACAGCTCCTCCGGTGCCGACGCTGTCCGCACCCTGCTGTCCAACACCGTGTCCGCCCTGGGGCGCCTGGGCCCTGAGGGCACGCAGGTAGGCTGCTGCCACAGTACTGGGGGCACGGGACCGTGGGTAGGCCACAGTGCCCACAGCTCCCCTGYACCCTCACAGGTGGCCCTGGCCACGTACAGCTACCGCAGCCTGCCCTGGCTGCTCCTCAACCGCTCCAGTGACCTGCCCGCCGTGCTGGAACGGATCCGCACCATCCGCTACGAGGAGCCCAGCGGCAACGCCATCGGTGAGGGGCGGCTCCAGGAGCTGGGCAGTGGCTTCCAGGATCCTGCTGACCATCCCTTTTCCTTGTCCCTCTCTAGGGGCAGCCATCACCTTTGCCAGGACCTACCTGCTGAGTCCAGGGGCCGGGCGCCGGCCCGGGGTGCCAGCAGTGCTGGTGGTCCTGGCTGACGGCCCCTCCGGGGATGATGCCATCGCTGCGGCCAGGGATGTCAAGGCYGGGGGTGAGGATGAATGGGGTGTCATCAGGGTGTGCAGGGAGCTCTCTGGGGTGCTGATGGTGCTGTTGGCTCAGGGGTCCAGGTGCTGGCAGTGGGCTTGGAGGGGGCAGACCGGGAGCAGCTCCAGCGTTTGGTCACCAGTGAGGACCCACGGTACATCTACCATGGCGGCCTGGAAGAGCTGGAGGGAGAGCTCACAGATGACCTCTGCACTATCATCTCCACCAGGGTAAGGGCCAGAGTGCCTCGTGGGGGTGTGGAGGGGGAGCAGCTCCATGCGAGCCTGCCCCCTTGAGTTCACACGTGCTTGTCTTGTCTTGCCAGCCAGAGCCAAAGCCAAAGCCCTGCACTGCACAGTGCCCTAAGGTGAGTCTCCCTATGCTGTGCTGTGCCACAGGGCACCCCCAGCTGCTGGTGGCAGAAGCCCAGTGGGGAGTCAAGTACAAGGTGSCAGCCCCTAACCCTTTCCCTCTGTCCCCTTGCAGGGCGAGAAGGGAGACCGCGGTGAGGCAGTGAGTGACCCCCCTGCCCGCAGCTGGTGGCTCTGAGGGTTCTGCATCCCCCAAACCACGCTGACACCACTCACAGGGGATGCTCACCACTGGCTTTGTCTCTGCAGGGACCTCAAGGACGCATAGGACCRCCGGGTCCTCCTGGTCAGCCGGTAATATCCTGATGGAGGGGGGGATATGGGGGGCAGCTCCTTGGAGAGGGCAGTGACACGGTCCCCATGTCCTCATGTTCCCTTGTCCCTTTTCCATGCCGGGGGGTGGGTGTGGGGCAAGGACATGTCCAGCCCTTGTTACAGGGGTGGACAGGGAACACCTCTTGAYCACCACCTGCCACCCAGCCTGTCCTCTCTGCTGGGTCTCCAGGGTCGCCACGGGCTGCCTGGCCCTCCTGGACCGCCAGGGCCACAGGGTCCRCGAGGAGAGAGCATCGAGCGTCCAGGCAAGAAGGGGGACAGGGTRAGTACCTCTGGCCACTCACCCAGGCACCCCAGGGTCCATGGGCACACTGACCTGTCACTGCCTCGTGTCCCTTCATTCCCCCTGACATCCACACTGGAGGGGGAATCCCACTGAAGAACCCCAGCCCAGMCGCACACTGCTCCCTCACACCCCAGCTCAGCACACCAGGGAAAGGCACCCCAGAACCCAGCTCTGCCATGGTCTGCCCTGGGCTCCCAGTGCTAGAACCTGAACTGCCTGGGGCACTGAGGGCATCTGGCGGTGCTGGGGTACACCAGATGCTGGCATGATGCTCCTCTGTCCTGCAGGGATTTCCAGGAGCTGATGGGACACCAGGAAGCCCTGGACGCCCTGGGAATCCTGGATCACCCGGCCAGCCAGTGAGTGAGGGTGTCCCTGGGGTTTGCCACTATACAGAGGGCTCTTTCCATTGCCCTGCCTGCTCCCTGAGCCATCCTCTGCTTCCCTGCTCCCGGTGCTGGGGGAGTCTCAGCAGCTGGCAGGGTCACTGCTGTCTCCTGTGTATCCCTGGCAAAGTGTGCTGTCCCTGCTTTGGCTGGAGCTCCCATGCCTTGCCATGCCATGCCTTGCCATGCCATGCCATGCCATGCCATGCCATGCCATGCCATGCCATGCCATGCCATGCCATGCCATGCCATGCCATGCCATCCTCACTCCCCTGGCTGGCAGGGACATGTTCACCTCCTGAGCTGTTATTTTCCAGGGCATCCAAGGCATTCCTGGTCCTCGAGGGGATCCTGTGAGTATGGCCCCAGCCCTCCCCGGTCCTACTCACACCCAACACCTCCTCTCACTGTTGTCTTTCCTTCCCAGGGGATACGGGGKCCCTCAGGACTTACTGGCCCAAAGGGGGAGAAAGGTGAACCGGTATGTGATGGACAGGGCCTGCACCATGGGGATCCATGGGGAACATTGGGGACCCTGGTGGGCACATCTTGGCCCCTGGCATTTCCTGACCCCATGGTCTCCCCATCTCCCTGCCAGACTCCAAGCCTTGTGGCACTCTGCCCCAACAGAGCACATGGGGTCACAGATTTTTCCTCCCCGTGTTGTGCAGGGAGAGCCCAGGGTGATCACGGATGGAGAACAGGGGCTGCCAGGCCGGAAAGGGGAGCCAGGTGTGCCGGTAGGTGTGGGAACACGTGTGTGAAGGGGTGTCTGCCAGCACCCCCAGCCCATGCCACAGCCTCAGCTGATGGAGCTCCTCTGTCCTCCAGGGCAGCCCTGGCTCTCCTGGGATCCCCGGCCCGCGGGGGCCCCTTGGTGATCCAGGCCCTCCTGGTCCGCTCGGACCCATGGGGCTCCCAGGACCTCCTGGAGAGTTTGTGAAGGTACATCCCGCCRGTGCTGCACGGGGATGGCTGGGGGGCTCTGTGGGCAGATGGATGGGGTAACTTGGAACTGCTCTCCCGTGGGCTCCTCCTGGCCCTGCACACGGGCTGTGCCCCCACCAGCTGTGCCTGCACACACATGGGAGTGCATGGGCTGGCACTGGGCAGCGTGGGGAGAGGCACATGGCTTCACATACCCTAACGCCACTGTTGATGGGCTCTACCCAGCATGTTCCTCTTCTCTTCAAGGAAGGCATGGGCACAGYCCAGAACTGCCCTTATTTGCTTTTTTTTGCCTTTGCAGGGAGAAAAGGGTGACCGAGGGGAAAGGGTGAGTGGGTCTGCATTTCCCCAACTCCCCTGCCCTCCTGGCTGGAGGTCCCTTGAGTGTCCGAGGGCACTGCAGCCCCTCAGAGTGCTGGGGGACTGAGCCCTAGGGGGAAACCACACAGGAGCTGACCCTTGTCTCTGCAGGGCCCCCCTGGACTCATGGATGGGGCAGCACCTCGAGGGGAGCCCGGACCCCCGGTGAGTCCAGCCCCTAGACCAACAGGGCTGCAGTGGCTGTGTGTGCCCAGGGCTCAGCTGYTCTCCCCAGGGGCTGAGATCTCCTCTCTTGCAGGGCCTGCCGGGGGATCCTGGGCCTCGGGGACCTGCTGGGCCCCCTGGSCTGAAGGGAGAGAAGGTAAGAGTAGGGATGCTCCCCCCTGGGGCTGGACCTCACACCACCCTCCAGCGGGGATTCCCATCTGATGGGCATCCCTGTGTCATGAGCATGGCTGTCACCTTTCCTAACCCCCAGGGTGATGGCACAGAAGGTTTCCCAGGATCGCCTGGCCGCCCYGGGGACCCAGGAGACAGGGTGAGTTTAGTGAGAGAAGGGAAGGCAGGCAGGAGCCATGCCAAGAGCCAGGCCCTTCAGGGCCACTGGAGGGCTCCTGCTTTGGACAGCCTGGGCGTTTGCCTTGTCACACCAAAGGTGACAAAGTCTCCATCCTCCTTTGCAGGGTCCTCGGGGACCACCGGGGGAGCAGGGCAGGAAGGTCAGTGGTGCAGGGACTGAAGGGACACTCTTGCTGTGCCTTTGGCAGGGAGAAAAKGGTTCTGGGTTCTGTGCCAGGAGCCAGGATGTCCCCCAAAAATCCTGCTGCCCCTGATTCTGTGTTTCTCCTACACCAGGGAGACCGTGGGGCCCCAGGCGAGCTGGGAGAGACGGGCGAGAAGGTGAGATGGTGCCAAAGCAGGGCTGTGCCACTCAACAGCATTGGCATGTCCTKGTGTCCCTGAGATCCGGTGGTGGCTGTGCCTGGGGATTGCTGTCACAACCCAGCAGTCTTGGATGAGATTCAGGGCAGAATCACTCAGAGCTCTGGGGCARTGGGGGCAGTGTGGTGTGGAGGAAGGAAGGCTCCCTGAAAGCCTCCTCTGCTTTGCTCTGCAGGGAGACCGTGGTGTCCCGGGCCCTGAGGGTGAGAAGGTAGGTGTGCTGGAGCACCTGTGGCCACGGTGGAGTGACACCTACTCTGCCCTGGAACCAGAGGATGGCAGAGTGCCCATGACACCTTCCTCTTCTTCCTCTCCTGCAGGGTGAGACGGGAGCCCCAGGGCGTCCAGGGCCGTCAGGCAGAGAGGTGAGTCGGGATAGAGTGTGGTGCTGTGGAGCTGGGGGCTGCCATGCCCTGGGTGCACATTCCCAGGCACTGACAGCCCCCTGAGGTCTCTAATCTTGCCACAGGGAGCTCCAGGACCAGCTGGCCCCCGGGGGGAGAAGGTGAGGGCAGAGTGGGRTCCCGTTGGGGTGGCAGCTGTCTGTTGGGGCAGGGGCTCGCAGTGACACCTGTCTCTCTGCAGGGCGATCCAGGACCACCCGGCAAGCCAGTAAGTGATACTGTCCACCTCTGCCTGCCCCAGCCTCAGGGCAGGGAGCCATGGGCAGTGCCCAGCATGGTCTCCTCTGCTTCCCCTCCAGGCTCCCAGTGTGGCCGGTGTTGGAGGAGAGAAGGTAACCCTGGCCCAGCTGTGCCCTTCACCCTCTGGGCATGGCCGTGGGCTGGGGAGGGGGATTGCACACTGGGCATGGGCCTGATGGGATGCTCATCCTGCTCCCAGGCCTGGCTGTCCACAGCTGCAGTGGGGAAAAATGGGTGGTTTGGGGTGCTGATTTTGTCTGCTCCAGGGTGACAGAGGTTTCCCAGGACCAGAAGGACCTCCYGGCCCCAAGGGTGACACAGGAGATAAAGGTGCCCGTGTGAGTACTGCCTTGAGGATAGGAARCACAGGGCACACGGCACAGCCCTCCCCAGACTCATGGTGCCTGTGTCGTTGCTCCATGCTGCATCCTTTCATGTCTAGGGTCCCCCTGGCCTGAGCATCCCAGGGCCAGCCGGTCCCAAAGGCGAGCAGGGCGACCGGGTGAGTCTGGGGGCACCCTGGGGGCACCAGCTCATGGGCCTGACCCCTCCCCTGCCAAGGGGTCACCAGTGTTCCCAGTGACACATGCTCTTCTCTCCAACAACCAGGGTATTGTTGGCCTCACCGGCAGGAGTGGCCCAAAGGTAATGTCACTGCCCTTCCATCCGTCTGTCTGTCCATCCATCTGTCTGTCCAGCTCTGGAGGGGCTGTCCTTGCAGCCTGTGCCCCTCTGCCCCAGCTGCCCTGACTGTTGCCCCTTCCCTTGCCTAGGGTGACCCAGGAGAGCCAGGGGAGAAGGGGGAGCCAGGCCGAGCAGGCGCCCCGGGGCAGACCGGAATGCGAGGCAAGGAGGTAGTGTGGGACAAGGGGCCATGGRGCACTGTGGCCCCGAGGAGAGGGGGGCTGGCAGGGGGCAGGGGGATGCTGGTGACTTGTGCTTTTCTCCCCTGGCCGGTGCCCACTGACTTGTGCCGCAGGGAGAGCGAGGAGAGAAAGGTGATGAAGGCACCCCGGTAAGTGAGGGTTCCCAGGACCACTGCCCCTCTCCCCATTGCCCCTCTCCCCATGCCTTCCACTCACCCCCTCTTTCCCCACAGGGTGAAGCGGGTCTGCCTGGCAAACCTGGAGACAGGGGTCCCCGGGTAAGGGCAGGGCTGGCACCCTGGGCTGGTGAGGGAACTGTGGGTTTGGGATGGGTCCCACTAATGCACATCTTCCCTTTGCCCTCCACCCAGGGCCTTCCCGGCTACCGTGGCCCCCCCGGGGAGAAGGGGGACTTGGGGGACCCAGGACCTGAAGGCAGGAATGTGAGTACCCCTTGTATGCACCCACTGCTCCATGGACACCCAGCACCCCTCACACCCCACTGCCCTGCACCCACCCTTACCCCAGGGGTACCACCACCCCATGGGTGCCCCATTCCCTCCCCTTCTCACCCCATCTCTCTTTCCTTCAGGGCAGCCCTGGAGCTCCAGGGAGCAAGGGTGACCGTGGGGACCCAGTGAGTGATGCAAGGCCATGTGTGGCCCCCCTACCCCAGACCCAGCTGTGCCCTCCCCCGGGCCGTGCCAGCTCCCCTTAATCTGCTTCCCGTGCCCTTCTTTCAGGGGCYTCCTGGACCCCCAGGACGAACTGTAAGTTCTGCCTCCCTCTTCTCCCTGCCCATGAGCTGGTGTCCAGCTCCATGTGCTCCAACAGCTTCTCTCTGCCCCACAGGTTGATGCTGGCSTTGGAGGAGTGGGAGAAAAGGGTGAGAAGGTAATGAGTGAATCCCTGGGATGCTGGTGGGGGGATACCCTCCGTTGTCCTCTGGGCACTGGAATCACTGTCCATCAAGCCCTCCCTGCCCAAAACAGCCTCTGCCACAGGCAGATGACATGCACCAGGACTGAGAGGGGGCTCATGGGCTGACACTCCTTCCCAGTGCTGGGAGGAGGCTCTGCAGGGCTGAGCTCTCCAAAGGAACYAGCATGCTCCTGGCTCCACAGCCCCATGCTCTGGGCATTCTGTTTTTATGCCCAGCTGAGGCTCAGAACAGCTGTGGCCACAGGCTGTGCACTGTGCTGGGTGGCACTGTGGTCCCCAACTGTGGCTGAGCTGGCTCCTGCCTCAGCAGTGCTTCTCAGTGCCTTTCTTCTGCAGCCACACTCTGGCCCCTTGGGACTGCATTGAGCTCAGTCACCTCTTTCTCAGTCTGTGCCTCTTATTTTGAGCCCTTTCCTGTCATCCCACCCCTAAACCACACAGCACAAGCAGAGGTGCTCACTGTGCTCTGGCAGGGGCACAGGGCAGCACCCTCTGAGCTGTGCCCTTCCCTGGCAGGGGGACCCTGGGGACCCTGGTGAGGACGGCGCCAAGGGCGCCCGGGGCGATGCTGGTTCCCCTGGAGTGCCTGGAGAGAGGGTAGGTGCTGGGTGCTGGGGAGGGAGGGAGGCAGCAGGRCAGCTGGWGATGGGAGAGCTGGGGGTCCTGGTRAGCACCCAGGGTCCCCTCCTTTCCCCCGTGCCCCACTGCTGAGCATGTCTCTCTCTTGCAGGGTGTGGAGGGCCCCCGTGGSCCCCCTGGCACAAGGGTAAGTGTCCCCTTTCCCATGGGGGCCTGAATGGGGCCCGTGCCCTGTGCAGCTCCTGTTAATGGGGGATGATGCTCACTTCTCTTCCCGCCCCATAGGGTGACCCTGGGGACCGAGGCCTGCCAGGAGAGAAGGTGAGGGGACTGGGGGCTGAGGGCTGCCCCACAGCACCCCCATCCCACCCCAAAGCTCCAAGCAGGCCCTGCTCTCTTACAGGGGGACCGTGGCCCACCAGGGCTGGATGGCCGCAATGGACTGGAAGGCAAACCTGGGCCCCCAGGCCCTGCTGGGCTGCGGGTGAGTGTGGTCCAGGGTGGGAGGAATGGCTGTCCCTGGGTGCCACAGGGGAGGGATGATGGGGTGTTCTCCTGGGCACCCTCTGCACCAGGCTGGGATCCTTTGGCAGGATGGGAATGTCCYTGTCCTCACCTCCTCCTTGTCTGCAGGGGGACCCGGGAAAGCAGGGAGATCCTGGCCGGGATGTAAGTAYCTCTGCAGAGGGAGGGTTTAGGCTGTGCTCCTGCTGGGGCCATCATACTTGCATGGGAGCAGTGTCCTGTCCAGGCAGGGTGCCACTGTCCCGGTCACGCTCCCTGCTCCCAGGGCTGGCTGTGGCACAGSGGTGCCCTGCTGCCCTGTGCTGCCCCATCTCCTTTCCCTGCAGGGGCTGCCCGGGCTGCGTGGGGAGCAGGGGCCACCTGGCCCTGTGGGTCCCCTGGGACCACCCGGCGTCCCTGTAAGTACCAGCCACCCTGCACCCTGGGGACATATCCTGTCCCCTGCCCTCTGCAGATCCCAGCTGGCTCCATCCAGCAGGGTTCACCCTGTGCCCAGCTCCCCTTTCCCTGCACCCTGAGGCTTCAGTGGAGAGCCTGCGGGGCTCCCTCGTTGCCTTTTCTTTCTCCCAGGGCAAACCCGGTGAGGATGGCAAACCTGGCCTGAACGGCAAGAATGTGAGTAGGGGAAGCAGGGCTTGACTTTGGGGCTGTCCCAGGATGCTGAGGGATAGTGATCCCAGTACAACACAAGGCATGGGGAGGATGGGGTGAAGAGTCCCCATGCTCTGAGCTGTTCCCTAGTTTGTCCCCATGCTGAGATGGTTGAGTTGGGTGCTGACAGACAGCCTTTATCCCCAGGGAGAAGATGGGACACCAGGAGAGGATGGGAGAAAGGTAAGGGGATGATCTACAGGTGGTTCCTGTGTGGTCCCTGCATGGTCCCCCTGTGATCCTCACAAGCCCAGTGGTTYCTCCTTGCCCGGACCAGGAGCACCATTTTGGGGCATACAGATGGGGCAGCATCCCTCCAGCTCCTTTCTCTCCTTTTTTAGGGAGACAAAGGTGATACAGGACTACCTGGCAGAGAGGTGAGCAGTCCCCAAAGGAGTGTGGTGCTGGGGGATGCTGGGTATGTGCCCCCATTGGGGACAGACCGGGGTCCCAGGCTCTGGGGTGACATTGCTCTCYCGGCAGGGCCGCAGCGGTGCCAAGGGCGAGCAGGGGGACAGAGGTGTGCCYGGCCCCCTGGGTCCCCCTGGCCTTCCCGGCGTCCCAGGGCAGGTCGGCCCCCCAGGTCAGGTGTGTAGTTCTTGACCCCATGGTGCCACCCAGCACCAGAGCCTGGAGTCTGGGCTGCTCTGAGGCAGGCAGGACACCCATCCATRGCTCCCTCGGGGCACTGCCCTGTGTCCGTGGGTGCCATTGTATCYCCTCCATGTCTCCCAGGGCTCCCCAGGCCTCCGTGGGGTGGCTGGACCAAAGGTAAGTATGCTGCTACCCCTCAGCCCCCCAAGGTGAAGGTCTGGGGGGAACCACAGGCCAGAGGGAATACATCCCTGGCAGGAGTCCCCGTCCCCAAGATGACAGGGCTGGACCCTGGTGCTGCCGTTGGTGCTGGGCAGCCTGACTGCTCCCCTTGACCCCTTTGCTGTGTTTCAGGGGGACCCAGGGGAGCCTGGAGTGCGAGGGGAGCCGGTGAGTACCCAGAACTGAGCCTGACAAGCTGCAAACACCCCAGGCACAGCCACAGCCACAGCCCTGCCCAGGCAGCATCAAAGGGTTAACTCTGAAATGTACTAAGGGAGAGCATTGCTCCCCTCTCCTGCTGCACCTCTGTACAACTTCTCATTCCTTCTTTTCCTGTAAACTTAGGGGAGACCTGGCAGCCCTGGAGCACGTGGAGACCCTGGCACTACAGTGGTGAGTCCTTACTCTGATCTGCTGTGCTGGGACACCAGCCCCGGGGGACAGAGAACTGCTCCCATGCTGGGAACAGACTAACACCTGCTTTGTTTTTAATGTCCTTTTATTGCAGAAYGTTGAACGGAGCCTGGAAGCACTTGGCATCAAGGTATGTATTGACTGTAGGCTGGGGCTTTTTCTGCCACATGGCATGAGGAAGAGGGATGGGAGGTGGTGGGAGATTCAAGCAATTTAGGGTGGACTGGCAGGACTGTGGGATGCTGCTGCAGCTGGGTTACACTTATGCCCTGACTGGTGACTCTCTCCTCCTTTACAGGTTTCATCCCTGAAGGAGCTCACGGGTGCCTATGATGGGAGTTCAGACTCGTTTCTGCCGGTGTCCGAGCGGCTGCGGGGCCAGAAGGGCAGCCGGGGGGATCCAGGAGAAAGGGGGCCCCCGGGCCGGGAGGTGAGCAAAGCCAGGCTCCATGCCCAGCCCCAATATGCCACCCCACTCCCTCTTCCTGGGCTGGCTCCATGCAGCCGGCTCAGCCCTGGGGTGCTCKGGGAGGGYTGACYGCCCTGCCTCAGGGCTGGCTCTGGCAGCACAGCTTATGTTTTRCAGGGCTCCTTAGGCTTCCCTGGCGAGCGAGGACCCAAAGGTGACAAGGGGGACCCAGGCAGCCCCGGTCCCCAGGGCCCCATGGGCCGGGCCGTGGGTGAGCGGGGTCCCGAGGGCCCACCGGGGCAGCCAGGGGAGCCTGGCAAGCCTGGCATTCCCGGGGTGCCGGGCCGGGCCGGGGAGCTGGGGGAGTCTGGACGCTCCGGTGAGAAGGTGAGCGTGTGGGCATGTGTGAGGTGGAGTCTGGGGGACCTGCTCTAGGGGCTTGGGGACAGCTGTGTGACAGCCACCRCCTTGTTCTCACAGGGTGACCGGGGCGAGAAGGGCGAGCGAGGTGAGCAGGTGAGCTGGGACGGGGACACGGTCCCCTCCATCCCCTACCGTGTTGGACCCTTCCTGAGGGGATGCAGGGCTCTCTGTGGGGCAGGCGGATGCCCTGGGGAGGCCAGGAGTGGCCATACCAGGATGTCCTTTGTCACTCAATCTATTTCTCTACCTTTCCCAGGGCAGGGATGGATTGCCKGGACCCCCAGGGCCTCCAGGGCCCAAGGTAGGTGATGGTTGCTGCTGGGGAYCATCCTCAAAATGCCAGCCTGCCCCTCTGGGGATGGATGGCCATGTCCAGTCCCTTGGCTCAGGGGCTTGGGGAGGGCTTTCCCCCTGAGTGGAGCTACCTGGGGTCCCCTGGCTGCTGGCCCTGACTGTCCCTGCTCACAGGCAGACGTGGTGGAGGGCAGCCTGATGGGCCTCCCAGGAGAGCGCGGCCCCATCGGACCCAAGGGAGCAAAGGTGTGTGGCTGGTCTGAAAGGAGAAGGGCAGCTGAGGCAACCGAGCTGGGCCACCATTGTGAGCTGGGACTGAGGGTGGTGGCAGGGCAGAGGAGTGGCAGGGGCTGATGGCATCTGTCTGCTTCCCAACAGGGTGAGCCAGGAGCCGAGGGCGAGCGAGGACCCAAAGGAGATAAGGTCTGTGGTCATAGATCTACAGTGCCAAAGGGGCAGCCCCATGGGGCAAAGCCCTCATTGAGGGCACTGCTGGGCAACCCTTCTGTGGGTGTCAGCAGGCCCTGGCAGGTGGTGGGAAGGTCCCTGCCTCTCCTGTGACCCTGTGCCTCTCCCCACTCCAGGGTGAAGGTGGCTCACGGGGTGACCGAGGGGAGCCCGGTGAGAAGGGCAGGGATGGCGCTCCGGTGAGTCCTGCWCTGTTCCCCTGCCTGACACTGACCCCGGACCCTGCCTGGCACTGACCCCATCTCTGTCTCCACCTTTTCTCCAGGGTCTCCCGGGTGAGAGAGGGCTGGCAGGCCCTGAGGGGAAGCCGGTGAGTGGGGAYATGGTGGAGGGATGCAGGCTGTGATCCCACGTGAGCCACCCTCAGCACCAGCAGGAGCTTTTATYCCTCATTCCCCTCCTTCCCCCTGCCCCGTGCAGGGCTTTGGGGGTCCCCASCCCTACCCCCCATAAGTGCCTTGGCTGGGTACCACACACTGGGAATGGRGAGCGTCCCTGGGGGCAGACAGGGATGTGTGGGAGCAGTGGATTCCCACATGTCCACTGACTCTGCTGTKGTTCTTTGCAGGGCTTGCCAGGCTTCCCCGGCGTGCTGGGACGGCCGGTAGGTGTCTGTGTGTCCCCCAYGTCCCTGTGCCTCACCTGTGCACATAGCTGGGGGCTCCTGGTCATGAGTGCTTGGTGAAACCATGGGGGTCACCCTGCTGCCAGGCTGGCTTCTTGGCCCCCTGCATCTGAGCAGGAGCTGTCCCAGCTTGTCTTGGTGCTTACAAGAGCCACCAGCACTGTCTGGGTCTGCTCTCCCTGGGGACACCCCATGCTCCCACTAGGGAAAGCCAATTTCTGGAGTGATCCCATTTCTTCCTCCCTACAGGGCAATCAGGGAGACCCAGGACCCCCAGGACCCCCGGTAAGGAGCCACCTTGCCCCACGTGCAGGGGACTGCCATGCAAGAGGAATGTCAGCCAGGGCGCAGGGGTGGGGTGGCAGTGCTGGGACTGAGTGGCCCTTCTGCCGCTCCCTGTCCTGTGCCACCAGCAGGCACCATGCCAATAATGTCCCTTTGTCCCCTGCAGGGCAGCACTGGCCCACCAGGGGCCCAGGGCCCAGCTGGTACCAAGGTAAGGCATCGGCATTGGCATCTTCATTGGCATTGCCATGTGCAGCCTGGCAGAGGGAAGATGGTGCCTTGCCAGATTTGGGAACTGGAGGGAGGGCCAAATTTCAGGAATTTTTGTGCCGGAGGGAGGGACATTTGGGCTGGGCTCCCTCCTGGATCCAGGTATGGGGACATGGCAGTGGGCATGGTTGCTGGTGGGTTGGGGTGGTCGGGCTGATGCAGCGTGTTCTTCACAGGGTGATCCAGGGGAACCTGGCTCTGGCATCCGTGTGAGTATTCACACCCTCCCTGCTAGCACCCAAACCCATCAAACCTCCCCAAAATCAGCCAGTCCCACCCCAACACACCTTCCATAGGGGCAGCCAAGGACCTGGCTGTGCCATCCTCTCTCTGATGTGGCTGTTTCCATTGCAGGGCTTGCCTGGCCCCCAGGGCAACATGGGCCTGCCAGGACCCCTTGGYCCCCCCGGCCCAGGGGTAGGTATTTACAACACCCCAGATCTACCCCTTGGCAGTTCCCGATGCCCAGGATGCTGTTTAATTTCTGCTCATCTCCATTGCAGGGCCCACCGGGTGTCCCTGGGCTGCCGGGACAAGTGGTGAGTGTGTTGTCCCTCCTCCTGGCTGCCATCAGTGTGGGTGCTTGGGGCTGCCTGGGGGGCTGTAGGACCCTCACATGCCAGCCCCACTCTCACTGTGTGCAGGGGGAGAGCGGGAAGCCAGGCGTGCCAGGCAGGGATGGCGTGCCAGGGAAGGACGGCGAGGCAGGAATGCCTGGGAAGATGGTACGTTGGTGCTCACCCTGCCCCATCCCAGCACACATCTCAGCCTGGGGTGTCTGTAGCTAAGCCTGAGGGCTGTGCCTCTTGTGCCAGGGCTTACCAGGACCTTCAGGCCCTGCTGGTCCCAAGGGAGAGCCAGGGGATGCTGGAGCCCCAGGGCAGGTGAGTGCAGAGCTGCCTTGCCCAGGATGAGGGGGGTGTCCAGAGCAGCCCTGCTCACTGGCCCAATCTCTCCTCTGTGCCCCAGGCTGTCGCTGGTCCCCCTGGAGCCAAGGGAGAGAAGGTAAGGAGCCAGGGAGAGGGATGGGATGGGCAGGGGCATCTGCTGTGAGCACAGCTAAGCACCAAGGTGTCCCTGCAGGGCGAGCCGGCGCTGCTGGAGGGTGTGCTGCTGGGAGAGCCTGTGAGTCACCCCATAAACCCTCACACCCCCTTTAACCCCATCTCCCCTCATTACCCGTTCCCTCCCCCATTAACCTCATCCCCTCCCGTCCATGGGGAAGCCAGCCCTGTGGCTGCCCCCTCCCCTGACACTGCTGTCCCGTCCAGGGCTCCAAGGGTGACCGAGGCTTGCCGGGCCCCAAGGGCGAGAAGGTGAGTGCTGCCCTGGGGACAGTGGGGAGGGGGTTGTGAGCTCCCCCAGCTCCCTGGCTGCTTGGCCATAGTGTGGGGATCCAGCTGCAGCTGCTCCCCCAGCCCATCATTCCACACATCTTTTTCCTTGTTTTTCCTTGCCAGGGGGAGCCGGGAAAGTTTGGAGAGCCAGGAGATCCTGGGGAAGATGTGAGTAGGGAGTGTATGGGAGTGGTGGGTGGATGATGGGGGCAGGGGGTTCTGGCAGGGGTGGGATCTGTGCCTTTGTCACCTWCTGCCCAGCCCTTCCTGGGGACTTGGTGTCTTCACAGGGAGCCAAGGGATCCTCCGGAGCCAAAGGGGAGAAGGTACGTGTCCTCTGCCCCAGGAGGATCCCCTGCCCTGGGGGATGCTCTGGGTGGCATGGTGGCCCTGGCACCCCTGTGACCACCAGCCAGGGGATGTGTCACACGCTCTCTGCCACTGCACAGGGATCACCAGGTGTTGGTGCACGGGGACCGCCAGGACAGGATGGGCCTCCAGGTTTGAAGGTAGGCCCTGTCCCCATGTCACCCTGGCTCTCGTCATGTCCCTAATGCCCTTGTGATGCTCTAGCCTGGCTRGCTGAGGGAAAAGCACACTCCTGAGGGGCTGTTTTTGTGACCTCATCCTCACCTTCCCTCCTTCAGGGTGACACGGGCTTGCCAGGATTACCAGGACCCCCAGGCTTAGCAGGCATTGCTGGAACACCAGGACAGCCAGGCTTGAGAGGGGACAATGGACAGCCTGGCCCTCCAGGTCCCCCAGGAGAGAGGGTAAAGACTATAACCAGAATGTGGTCACCTGGTGACCCTGGACCTTTGTGCAGTGTCAGTGTGGTCCCTGCCCACTCCCTGCTTTTTCCCTGCCAGGGCTTGATCGGCTTTCCAGGCAGAGATGGTGCTGCTGGACCACCAGGACCTGTGGGGCCCCCAGGGCCGGCCGTGAGTATGGTGCCACAGCATTCCTGGGCGTATGGGCTCGGCCCTGGCTTCCCTGCTGGCTCAGACAGGGTGACAGGGACCCAGCTGGCACCTCCATGGCCCCTGGAGCTGGGTGGTTGCTGGAGCGTCAATACCATGGTGGAGCCACGGGGAGAGTCTCAGTGATGCTTTGCAGGGTTTCGGGCATTGCTTTCCTTCCTTGGATTGCTCACCCTTCTCCTTTCTTTTAGGGCACACAAGGGGCCCCTGGCCTGAAGGGTGACAAGGTAGGACAGGGGGCAGCCCTATACTGAGAGGCTGTTTCTCTTGTGGGGTGTCTCTGCAGCCACCTGCCCCCGAGTGTGCCAAGCCCACTCTGGATAGTGGCACATGGGAGCCAGCTGTGCGCCAGGCACCCAGAGGGGTGGTGGGGACTGTGGGGTGTCCCCTGGCAGGGCTGGGAGGAGCTGTGGGCAGTGAGGATGGGATGAGTTCTTGCCTTCTCCTGGCAGGGTGCTCCGGGGGCTGGGCTGCCAGGAGCCAGAGGCGAGCGCGGTGACCCAGGACCACGGGTAGGTACTGCTACAGTCCCCCTGTGTSCCCACAGCCAGGGACAAGGAAACCCACGGTGCCAGCCCTGAGAGGACTCTGACCTAGAGCACACCTGKCCCTGGGATGGGTGCCCCCATCCCAGACCCCCTTCTCACATGCCTTCCTTCTCGCAGGGTGAAGATGGGCGCCCAGGACCMGAAGGGGATCGTGGGCCAGCTGTAAGTACCCCCTTCCCCAGCTGCACCCTGATCYGGGCCCCTCCATGACCACCCCTCTSTTCTGTCCCACAGGGATTGCCTGGGAACCGGGGGGAGCGTGGGGACAAGGTAAGGGACTCTGAGGGCTGAGGAGCTGGGAGAGAATAAGGCACCTCCAGGGATTGGGGTCCCCAAGGGGTGCTGCCGTTCCCTGCTGTGCATCCTTGCAGTGTGTCACCTTCCTCACAGGGGGACCTTGGCACCCCAGGACCCAAAGGAGACAAGGTGAGTCCCAGGGGTGGGGGAGAGTGGGAAGGTGGGCAGCACTGRCCCCCCTGCTCACCCTCCCCTCTCTCTGCTTTGGGTGAATAGGGTGACACTGTGGTGATGGAGGGGCTGCCTGGAGCACGGGGCAGCAAAGGGGAGCCGGTAAGAGCTGTCCCTCTCCTCCCTCTCCCCATCYTCCCTGTCTCCCTGGGAGGAGTTGGGGGAGCTTCTTCCTGTTGAGAGACCTTCCCTTGCAGACCACATTGCCCCGTCTCCTTCAGCCACCCTCAGATTCCCATGTCCCTGCCCCCAAAGGGTTCTCCCCATCCTGATATGTCTGAGCTTCTCCTCATTCCCTGAATTCTTCCCGTGTTCCCTCCTTTGCAGGGAGAACGTGGCCCGAAGGGCACAGAAGGGGACAAGGGGGTCAAGGGAGAGCAAGGCATGCCCGGAGAAAAGGTGCAGGACTGGGGGGAACTTGTGCAGGGCTGGGTGCTGCTGGGTTGGGGATCGTGGGGGTGATGGACAGTGGAAGCAGGGCATGGCATCATCCCTGTGCCATGTGTGCTGGTGCTAGTGGGCACCAGGAACGTGGTGCAAGGGGAGCTGCCAGACCTGGCCTCAGGTGASCATGGCTGTGCTGTGGCCATGCAGTGGCTGGAGCTCTCCCTCCTGCCCTGTGTTGATCTGGGTTTCTGCTTGCAGGGGACGAGGGGTGAGCAAGGAGAGAAGGGCCCCATGGGCTTCCCTGGGGCACGTGGCCCTGGTGGGCAGAAGGTACGGAGCGGGGCAGCCCCACTGCCGGGGGATGCTGGTGGCACCATCCCCCTCACCTGCCCTGATGATGTCTTTGCCTTCCCCAGGGAGAGGCTGGAGCACCGGGAGARCCTGGCGAGCCGGTGAGGAGTTGCATCTTGGTGCCTCTGCCACCCCACTGCAGGSCAGGAGCAGGCCCTTGTCATGCTGTGTGCTCTCCCACAGGGTCAGCCTGGCCGTGATGGKATCCCTGGGGGCCGTGGAGAGAAGGGGGACACGGGACCCCTGGGCATGCGTGGCCTCAAGGTGGGTTGGTCTCTCTGGCTGACTATGCTCTCCTGGCCAGCACTGGTGCTGTCTCGGCATGGCTCTGACTGCCCTCCTCATCCTTGCAGGGTGAGCGGGGCATGAAAGGTGCCTGTGGCCTCAATGGGGACAAGGGTGAGAAGGTGAGTGGGTGCCTGTGGGGTGCTGCAGGAGCCTGGATGTTGCCTGGAGGCTGTGGCCCTTTGGATCCCCTCCATCAGCCAGTGGGAGCAGAGAGATGGCTGAGGCCACTCCTTGACCCCACAACAGGGTCATGGAGTCYCCTCCTCTGCCTGTGGCTCTGGGGTGAGCATTGAGGGGTGAAGGACTGACCGCCCTGCTTCTCTCCTGCCTGCTGTAGGGAGACCCGGGGATGCCAGGGCGCTCAGGACTGCCAGGGAGGAAAGGCGAGCCGGTAAGCACTGCCCTGACACCAGGGTGGGACAGGAGCGCATGACTGGTGGCTGATGGACATCTGCTCTGTYCCCCAGGGAGAGCTGGGTCTGTCAGGACCACCAGGCATTCCTGGGAAGGAAGGGCTCATGGGACCCAAGGTAGGTCAGAGCAGTGCTGGGAAAAGCTGCGCTGGCAGTTCATCCATGTGCTGCCGGCCCCCCGCTGCCTGTCCCCYGCTGCCTGTCCCTTCCTCTTTGCAGGGTGACCGAGGATTTGACGGGCAGCAGGGAGCCAAAGGAGACCAGGGGGAGAAAGGAGACCGGGTGAGCAGGCTGGAAAGGGGAAAGGGGCGGGATGCTTTGCACCACATCACTTGTACCAATATACAGCCTCGGTCAGAGGAACACCAGAGCCTGATGCTCCCAGAACAGTYATTTKGCGCTGCTCTAAATTATGTYACTAAACAATGAGTGACAACMATTTCCTGCTCTTTACAAGGAGGCMCYAGTGCTGGTTCTTCRGTGATGCCCAGCTGTGGGGTCAGAGGATGCCCATGGCATCTGCTCTGGTGTTGGGGGCTCTGACACCCCGGCCTCACCTTCTGCTCTGCAGGGTGCCCCAGGTGTTATCGGTGGCCCTGGTCCCCGGGGCAGTGACGGTGCTCCTGGCCCCCCTGGACCCCCAGGGAGTGTTGGTCCACGAGGTCCTGAAGGCATGCAGGGCCAGAAGGTGAGTCCTCAACGCAGGTGACTAGACACCCTCTGGGGCTGTGAGGACGGGAGGGCCCAGTCCCCTGAGTGAGTGAGGGATTGGAGGTATCTGGAGTCATATCGCAGCTCTGTCCAGCCCTGCCAGTTTGCTGGCTTTGGGTCCTTCCCTTGTGTTGCCTTGCCCAGGGGATAAGAGTGTGAGGGGTCTGGGACCCTGCTTGTCCTTAARTTGAGCTGGACCTGTGCCATCATCGCCTGCCCTGGCATCCCTGGGATGCAGAGGTGGGGAAAGCAGCTCATCCRTGGTGCTGGGGAGAGCAGAGAGACTCCAGCACCCACCAGCCAGATCCTGAGCWGTGTCCTTTGCAGGGGGAGAGAGGCCCCCCAGGGCAGTCTGTTCCTGGCGCACGCGGCGTGCCCGGCATCCCCGGCGAGAGAGGAGAGCAGGTGAGTGAGCGGGTGCCTGGCTCTGCCTGGATGAGTTYCAGCCAGGGRCAGCTTCCCACCTCCTTTCTGCTGTCCCTAGGGCAGTCCTGGCGCCCATGGGCTCCGTGGGGAGAAGGGAGAGCCAGCCATGACGGTAAGGAGCCAGGAGGGAGCCAGCACAGGCTCGTGGCACTCGGGTCACTGGGGTGGGAAGCGGTGCCGTAGCCATCCCACAGCCACTGATGGAGGGGTTGCCCCCATTTCTGGGCTCTGCTGGAGCCTGGGGAAAGGGTTTTTTCTCCTCTTTAATTGCACCATCCCCAATCACTACATGGGACCTTTGCCCCTTCATGTGCCCGTCAGGAGGAGGAGATCCGTGCCTTCGTCAGGCAGGAGATGAGCCAGCACTGCGGTGAGCATYCCCCTCTGCTACCCTGGGGCTGGGAGTGTGGACCTGCTGTCCCTACTGTCCCTAACCACCACCCTGTCTCTCTCACAGCCTGCGGCGGCCACCTCCCACRGCACCAGGATTCACGTGAGCACTCAGGTTGTGGCTCTTCCTTCCTACCCCCCTGCCCCATGCATGTGGCACCAAAGGGGTCCTGGCACCCAGGYGTGCCACTGGTTTTGGGGAGCTGGAGGTGGCTGGGACCCTCCACAACCCCTTCAGTCAGGCTCAGCATCAGTGTGGGACCATGCACARGGAGAAGGGATGGTGGGTGGCTGAAGTGATGGTGGAGCAGTGATCCCCAGGGGCAACTGGCTTGGGAGGGTGCCAGTGGGGTCTGGGTCTGCCAGGGTCCCCCCAGCTGAAGGCATCCCAGGAACTGCACCCCATCTATGCCTGGGTGTCAGAACTGGGGCAGTGGTCTTGCAGGGGTCAGCAGTGCTGGAGGGGAGGGTAGGCTGGAGGAGTGGGATTGGAGGGACAAGGGSTGGGCTGGGATGAGGTGGGTGCTTTCTCTCCAAGGAGGCTGGGGGGCTCAGGCCAGGAGCGGCTTCCACTCTGCCCAGGGAGGAGGAAGAATCGTCCGCCAGGAGAGAGAGCATGACCAAACAGGTGATGTAGAGTCTGTAAGATCTGGCCCCATGGGTATGGTGTGCCTCCCTTATCACTGTCCTGCTGGGCTCCAATGGATTTTGTCTCCCTGGGCCTCCCCTGCCGGCCCCTCCTCCAGAAGCCCCCAGCAGCCCTGATCAGCGGTGCAGAGAGATGAGGGACACCCTTCATCCATGGTCCACCATCCCTGTCCACCTACCCTGTCAGGTTGGGCAGTGCTGGACTGCTCCACACCTGGAGGGGGTGTGTTTCCCCTGGGAAAAAAGGGGAAAGCACCCCAGACTCCCTTGCCTCTTCCCTGATGCCTGTGTCACATCCTTCYCCTTCACAGGGTCCTTCTCCACCCAGCCATTCCCTGCTGGCAGCGCTCACACAGTCCCTGTGCTCAAGTTGTCACACACTGAGGAGGAGGAGGGTGTGTCATCCCTGCGCTTTGAGTCCTTGCCCCCCTTTTTCTGTGCTCCATGTGTGTGGTGAGGACTGCTCATGCATGATGCTGTCTCCCAGGGCAGGACAGGCACATCATGCTYGACAATGACGACCTCGAGTATGACAGCATGGATGGGGAGGAGGATGACTACGATGAGGTCCCGGAGATGGACAGCTTGGAGCAGCCCACAGTGGATGGTGAGCTTCCTTCTGCTCACCTGGCACTGAGGGTGAAGCCACTGGGGGAAACCATGGAGCTGCCTCAGGCTTTGCTGGAGTGGTGTCTTCTCTTCCAGCTGGTGGTCCCTGTGCCATCTGTCTGTGGGGATTTAGGATTTGCAGCCCTCTTGCTGGTACCCGGATGGGTTRCCCCTTTCCCATCACAGCACTGTGCTGCTCACACCATGCACACCTTGTGCTCTGTCCCCCTCACCAAAGCTGTCACCAGCAGTGATGGATGGTGTGCTGGGCTGGTGGGATCTGCTGCCTTGGCAGCTTTCCTGTGCTCTGCTCATATCACAAAGCCCCCAGGAGGTCAGGGAAGCTCCAGGGCAACAGGATGCAGAGGGTTCCTCCACAACCCTTCCAAGGGGTACTGTAGCCATCATGTTTCCATGCCACCTTCCTCTCTGGTCTTGCTGAGCGCTGCCCCTGGGAGACAGCTTGCCCAGAGTGGTGTCTGGTGTCCTCAATTCCAGCACTTGGACAGAGCACAGAGACATCTCCTCCGGCCAGACCCTTCCCATGCTCAGCTGGGAGCCATCCTCTACATTCCCCTTCTGGGGTTTCCCTCCTCTGCCAAGCGGGTCTGGCAGCCTCCAATGCCTGTGTGCTGCCAGGTCCTGCCTGCCCTCACCAGCATCATTTTCCCACAGCTGAGCCCTGCAGGCTGCCGCTGGATGAGGGGGACTGCCAGCGCTACACCCTGCGGTGGTACTACAACCAAAGAGTCACCGAGTGCCGGCCCTTTGTCTACAGCGGCTGCCGGGGCAACCTCAACCGCTTYGACAGCAAGGAGGAGTGTGAGCTGCACTGTGGGCAGCACCCAGGGCCAGGTAGGCATGGCTTGGCACAGCCAGCAGGTCCAGCAGCATCCCCACCCCGTGCTGGGGGCTCAGCAAGGCAGATCTGGGGGCACAGTGCTGGTCCCCCATCTGAGCTCTGACAGTGCCTCGCTTCTCTCCACAGATTCCCGTGGCAGTGCCGGCAGCACGGTGGGAGGGCAGCCAAAGGTGTAGGTGCCGGCAGTGTCTCGGCAGGCAGGGCTGCCTGAAGTGGGGCCCAGCTGCTGCCCCGGCCGGGGTTGGGCTGCCCGTGGTGGCGGGGCCACGTGTCCACCAGCCCCGGCAGGAACCTGGTGCTATTTCTAACCTGTCTTTATGCTGCTCATGGGTTTTTCATTTCATATCAGTTTATTGTCTTTAAGGTGAAATTTATATCAAATGGGAAACTGCATCCCACAAAGGCTCTGAACCCTTTTCCACATGGAGGTTTCCTGGGCTGTTGTCAGTTTGATTTTTAAATTATTTTTTGCCAAGAAGATGGTTCTTAGCCCTGTTTCCTCTCTCTGAAGTGGAGCTGAGACTTGGCGTAGCTGGGCTCCCTCCCCTCACATAACACCATTGTGCCCTTTCCTGCCCCCCACAGACCCCCAATCTCCCTCTCTGCTCCCCACTCTCTGCCAGGGGAGCTGTCCACATCCTTGTTCCAGGCAGTGCCTCTCTGCACAGCATCCCTCACCCCCACCCTGTTATCAGCTCCATCTGAATAAATTTCACCTTAACCTCAACTGGGGCCCAGTTCCCCTTTTGTGGCTGCGATGGTTTGGCAATGACCTGTGGGGAGACCGGAGGCTTTTTCCATGTGCTACCCTCCAGCTCACAWGCCTGCCAGCAGCACATCTGTCTTTAATCTGGGGGGGCTCAGCTGCACCCCCAGGCCTTTCAGGGAAACCCTGAGAATGGTGCTACGTTAGAAGAGGTTCCTGCTCRCCCACGCTTACTCTCAAAGGCTTTGTGAAAGTGATGTTGGCTGCTGGGGTCGCAGCCCCTGCTTCCCCCCAGCCCCAGGGCTGAGCAGGGACGTGTCCCAGTGCCCCAGAGCCCRAGGGGCTGCTGGGTGGGCTTTGTGACCCCCAGACGTACCACTGCTCTCCGTGTATATCTGTATACAGCGAATGTATATGTGTACCAATGCAGGGGGATGTGTATTAAAGCTGTGCTCACAGGGAGATGTCACACTTCTTGGCACACCACYGGAGATGCCTGTGCAGTCTGGGGACAGGTTTTGAGTCAGGCGTGCCCCCTGCCCACCCCAGCTGAGCTGTCCTTTCCAGCTGCCCGCAGCTGGCAGGGCTGGCTGGGGTTCCTCACCCCTTTCAGGGATCCCAGTGCCCGTCCCTGTGCCCAGCACGTGCCCAGCTGACGCAAGCCRGGCCGTGACCCCCTGTCCAGGCCCTGACGTGTCAGCACGTGGCTCTGTGGTGCTGCACGATGTGCTGTGTGAATCAGTGCTGCCAGCTAATTTTGGCTACTGGGTGTGAGTTCCTGGCTGTCCCCAGCAGGAAGAACAGAGCTGGCATTATTTCCGTTCCCTGCCATCCTGGGGAGGGTGGCATAGGATGGGTCACCCTGTGGCCACGGGGGTGGGCAGACCTCCTGTGGTCTGAACCCTGGGCACCCTGACTCCTTGTCCTGGCCAGCGCTCTGGGCTCAGCACCCACCAACTCATCTCATGCAGGTGCCCAGCCAGCCTGAAARCCTTGGGATGCTCCCACAGTGCCTAAGGGGGGAGTTTTGGAGCAAAACCCTCGCATATGGGGCTCACTGCACAGCAATGCCTGCAGGCTGCTACGCACCTTGGGCAGCTGGGGGAGGAGCTGGGCCAGGCTGGACTGGTCAAGTGGGCTGCAAACCAGTGGTGTCCCAATTGGAATGCATTAGCATGAGCTGCAAACTACTGATGTCCAGCAAACCAGGGGCCAAAGCAGTGCTTGGGTTTGGCACAGCAGATAGCTGACATGTCTCTAGATATGTTCTCCATGTGGCCAGGGGCTCTGTCCGGACACAGGGCCAAACAGGTACCAGGAGATGTCAGGGGGCTGTGTGAGGCACAGTGCCCAGAGGGCTGCCCATGGTCACTGGCCCGCAGCAATATGCATGTAAAGAAGGGAAAGTACATGTACTTTCTCTTCTTTAAGTGATTATGGAAGGAGCGGGGAGGCCTCATTAGATGGAGAAAAAACATCTTGCAAGTCAGACAAGAAACAATTACAACTGAGCTGTCCCAGGTTCCCGGAATCCCCTCCAAATGCAGCTGGTGGAGCTGCAAGGGGGCACACACACACACCCACATCCCGGGATGACTTCATCTGCTACTAGGCAAAATGTATTAAAAACATTTCCACCATCCCCCCC